TATATAATTATGTTAGTTTAATTACTTTTTAGGTGTAAGTAACGATACTAACAGTATGCATGATTTGTCAGATGTTGGAGATTTTATTAATATTCATCCAATTCCAGAACACAAAAAGTACGGTTTACTAAATAATCCATACAAACCAACTATAAATTATAATTTTAAAAATGACATGGAATCAAATTCTAAACGTGCATTTAATTTGAAGTACTTAGAAATGTATGACTGGATGTCTGGATGATTTATTCACCTAAATATAAAGGGGTTTTTTGTAATTTTTGCATTTTATTCAAACCTTATGTTCACAGAGGTAAACAAAGTTCTTTTGTTATTACACCATTTACAAAATTTTATCAGATTATTGAAGACTCAAAAAAACATGAAAAAACACAGTGGCATAATGATTCAAAAGTTACAGCAAAACTGTTTTTAGACAGTATAAATTCAAAAAAAAATAAATGTCATGGAGCAAATTAACTCTACAGTACATCAAGAAATTTAAAAAAATAGAAAAAAAATTGAGACCAATCATTAAATCAATATTGTTTTGTGGACAGCATGATATTGCCCTTAGAGAAAACACAGCTGATAAAGGTAATTTTGTTGGTTTATTGAAATTTCGGTTTGATTCAGGTGATAAAATCCAAATATGTGTCACATAGAATTCAAAACGAAATTATTCAAATTTGTGGTCAAGTAATTTGTAATGATATTGTATCCCAAGTCAATAATTCAGTTGCATTTTMTTTACTGGCTGATGAAACAGCAGAAAAGGAAGTTATCTATTGGTGTAAGATATATTGATATTAATTATGTTGTGCATGAGGAATTTATTGAAWTTAGTGAAATACATGTTTTAAATGCAGAAGCCAGAAGGTGTATCAAGAAGTATATTAGAATMAATAGAAAAATGTTGAAACTTGTTGGCCTAGGGTTTGATGGTTGTTCAACCATGAGTGGTAAAGATAATGGTGTACAGGCAATTATACGAAAAATGTATCCAACTGCTTGTTATTTTCTTTGTGCTTCACATAAGCTAAATTTAGTAGTTAACGATCAAAATTCAATTCCTGAAATCAGAAATACTATTAGTTCTGTAAAGGAAATAATCAAGATTTTTAGAGAAAGTATTTTGAGAAGAAAACTTATTCCAAATATTCCATTATTTTGTGAGATACGTTGGTCTGAAAAGTACAAGTGTGTACAGCTATTTGATGAAAATTTCATTGAAATTAAAACTATTCTTGAAAAATTAACTATAGTTCAGAAGCAAATGCTGTTGCAAGGAATCGTGCATTTCAACTTTCATATCAGCCACATCAAATTGTACTTTTTTTGATTAGCTTAAAAGTAATTGCTTATTATTCCTCTGTTCTAGAACCGGTTGTGACCAAATTACAAGGCACAAGTGTTAATCTCCATTCTGTTCATACATTTGTTAAAACTGAACTTCTTGGCATACTAAATAAACATAGAGAACATAGCATGGAGTATTTTAATACAATTTTTGAGGAAATCACTAAAGCAGCGAATAGCTTAGATTTTATACTTAAAATACCTTATAAGCCTTCGAAAAACAAATCATCAGAGTCGACGATCAAAACATAACTGTTCATCAACTGATTCTATTAAAGATTATTACAGAATATCCATGTATATACCATATTTAGACTCTATTATTAGCTCGTTAAATAGTTGGTTTAATGAAAACAAYGAGACTCCATTTAAATTGTGTTGGTTGCTTTCAAATGAAATGGTTAAACTACAAATAACTGAATATATTAACATACTTCAAGATATTGAAAATTATTTTAAAAT